TTCTAATCATCCTTCTCTCATATATTTTCTTACATGATGCTTAGGAACAGTCCTTTACAATGTATATATTCTCAGGCTTTCTTTTTCAGCAAGATGGTGGATTAAGATATTAAAAAAATAATAATACTCAGAAATGCCTACATAGAGAAATAAAAATCTTCAAGATCCAGGAGCCGGCCCTGTGGCGCAAGCGGTTAAGTGCACACGCTCCGCTGCGCGGCCCGGGTTTCGCCGGTTCAGATCCCGGGCGCGCACCAACACACCGCTTGTCAAGCCATGCTGTGGCAGCGTCCCATATAAAGTGGAGGAAGATGGGCACAGATGTTAGCCCAGGGCCAGTCTTCCTCAGCAAAAAAGGAGCAGGATTGGCAGATGTTAGCTCAGGGCCGATGTTCCTCAGAAAAATTTAAAAAAAAAAATTTTTCAAGATCCAGAAATGAGAAGGGAACTGAAGGTCAGAGTGTCATGGCTCTAAGCTGAATCTGCTGCTTCTCTAGGGAAGGTTTATCAGTCTTAAGAAATTAGAATCTTTTGTTTTAACATATATGGGACAAGGTCGTGAGCCCAAATGAGGAAAGGGAGTACTCCAGCCTTAGGTAAAGACATGGCTTTCCAAGAGTTTAATTTTCTTTAAAAAGGTGAATGAGAAAATCCACTCAAGGCCAGAAAGACATCATAAGAAAGCTGGCTTTTCTCTGCCTGGGGTCTGGCTGAAAAAAAAAAAAAAACTTCTTTGAGAAATGGGAACCGTTCGACTGAGACTTACTTGGTTTGAGATCTGATTTTAAAATATTTATGGGTTCCTGGATAGCTTATTCATTTGGGGTCTCTGAAAGAAAAAAACTAAATATTACACTGAAAGAACGTTCTTTCAACACAGGATTGCCTTGGGGGAAGGAGATTGGGGGGAAAGAAAACCCTGAAAAGATGAGCTCATAGTAACAGTGTCCCAAAACACAAGAATATGCAAAAGATAGGCAGAAGTCACTACAAGCAAAAGAATGAAGTGTCACAGATTTAAGATACTAGAAAAATAATCTGTAACTAATTTACCATGTGTGTGTTTATAATGATTAAATATAAAAGAAGAAATCCAAATTCTAAGAAAAGAATCACACCCTTCATATTAGTCAATGCTAGTAATCAACACTAGCTACCATATCGAAGCAGCAAGTAGGAAATCATGGATACTGGCTAAAATATCTGACAACCCCCAAATCTCAGTGACTTAACACAACGAAGAATATTTCCCATCCATACTAGAGTCTGAGCAGGAGTTTAGTGGTGGCTTTGTGTGTGCTAAATAGGGGTTCTTGGCTCCTTCCATCTTGTACTATGGCCATTTTCTAAGATCTCCTCATAGGACTGAACCATGCCTCAAGCAGGAAGAGAGTAAGAATTATCTCACGGAATGTTTTACGAGCCTAAATGTGAGATACAACACATCTCCCCATGTGCTGTTGTCCAAAACTCCATCACAAAGTACCAGCCAAACTGCAAAGGAGTATGGGAAATGTAGGAAATGGAAAACAAGATTGCTGAGCATCTGGTCAGTCTCCCCCTACATGTAAAAATTTGAAACGGTTCTAATTACAAATGATAGAAAAATAAAATAAAGACATTCATTCTTTTATTTCATGGAAATAGATGACAGAGAGGCAAATAGATTCCCTGTATTGTCCAATTGCTGGAGATAGCAGGGGTAAACAAATATCAAACCTGGTATTCCCACCACTGTGAAACTTACAAGCCCTACTTATGGAAAAACAGTAAGCCCATAAATAAAGGACTAGTGAGAGAATAGTCAAGTGCTGTAAAAATGAAGCAATATAAAAAGATGCAGAGAGGTGAGAGTTGCTATATGAGGTAGGATGTTCAGGAAAGTCCCTCCCACCTCTGCCCGCAGAAGGTGAAATTTGAGAGGGATCTTACCCTTCTTGTTGCTAAGTTCAACATTTATTTGTTTCTACTTCATCTTGTTTGATTTGTTAGAAGCATTTAGATCTGTCGCTCATTCTCTCATTTTTGAGAAAATTGCATTACTTAGCTTCCAGGGCATCACCCTCTACCCTGCCTTTCTACCTCACTGTTTCTTATTGCTGCTGTAACAAAATATCACACACTTAGTGGCTGAAAAGAATACACATTTATTATTTTGTAATTCTGGAGGCCAGAAATCCAAAATGAGTCTCACTGAGCTGACATCAAGGTGTAAGCAGGGCTGCCTTCCTTTTGGAGGCTCAAGGAGAGAATCCATTTTCTGGCCTTTTCCAGCTTCTAGAAGCTGCCCACATTCCTTGGCTTGTGGCCCCCTTCTTCTGTCTTAAAAACTAGCCATGTCGCATTTTCTGTCCATTCTTCAGGAGTCGCATCTCTCTCTGACTTCTTCTGTCTCCTTCCAATTTTGAGGACCCTTGGGATTATACTGGGCCCAGCCAGATAATCCAGGATAATCTCCCCATCTCAAGATACCTAGAGATATCTACAAACTCTCTTTTGCCATGGAAAGTAACACATCCACTGGTTTTGGGGACTAGGATGTGGATATATTAGAGAGACCATTATTCTGTCTACCACAATTACTGACTGCTTTTCTTAGTTTTCTTTTTTTTTCTCTTCTCTCTCTCCTGACATTTAACATGGAGTACCAAGGCAAATATATAGCTGTATTGATTATTATAGTATTGAAATATTTTTATATTGATTGGTGAGTAGCCTTAACAATAACCTTATCAATAAGACATTCCGCCTCCTGCCCTGGATCCTTGACCCACCCTGAGGACCTTACGTCCCTGACCCCACTACTTCAAGTAGTGAATAAATGTCTGGCATAGCTGGTGGCCTTGAAGACACTGACCCAGCATTGTGGCCAGTGTCTACTTAGATTGGTCAATGCTCATTCCTTACCAGTTGTTAGGCGTTTTGAATAGCATCCCTGGGAATGCCTCTTCCTTAGGATAGTCATTTTCTTGGTGATTTCATCCAGTCTTAAGACTTTAAATATCATCTAAACACTGATGACTCTCAACTTTTCCCTTTTAGCCTAATTCTTTCTCCCAAACCTCAGAATCCTACATCTAACTATCAATCAACATTTCCATGGATGTGTGATAAACATCTAAAACACAACGCATTCAAAAGTGAAATGCTGCTTTACTCCCTACCTCAATTTTGCCCCATCCCCCAGTCTCCTGTCTATCAGGAAATAATAACTCAATCGACTTGCTCTACCTTAAACATATACAAGGGGACTATTTCTTGCCTCCTCTGTTGTTACCAACCTGGTCCAAACCACCATCGGCTCTTTCTTGTTATTTCGAAGCTTTCTAAATGGTCTCTCTTGTCTCCTTTAGTCTTTTCTCAGCATAGCAATGAGTGGTTATAAAATTTTAGTCAAGTCATGTTAGACCCCTGCTCAAAACCCTCCTTTGACTTCCCATTTCATTCAGACTAAAAACCAACATCCTTCTCTCTGTTTAGATGACCTTTACAATCTTTGCATCTCCTGCTGCCTCTCTGAAATCATCTCCCTTTACCTCCCTTTTCACTTGCTCGGCTTCAGCTACCCTGACCTCCTGATTACTCTTCAGATGAGCCAGGATGCTCTCCACCTCTGGAATACTCTTCCCTGCTCTTTACTTGCTGTTTCCTGCTTCTGGAACATTCTTTCTACAGATTTCCACATAGGATGATTCTTTATTTTCTTTCACTCTTTACTTAAATATTTCTCTATCACAGGCACTTTCTTTAACCAATGTATTAAAAATTGTAAACCCTAACTCCTCGGTTCCCCTTTCCTGTTTTATATTTCCCTGTAGCAATTTTCACTTTCTAATATACTGTATATTTTACTTAATTTATGCTGTTATTTTGTGTGGCCACCCACTAGAATATGAACTCTATGGGGGTAGAAATTTTAGTGTGGTTTCTTCACTGCTTATCTCAGGGTCTACAGTGCGGTTCTAGCCCCACGGGTAGTTAAAATTCGACAAATCAAACAAGATGCCTATTTTAGACTTTAAAATTCATAAAAATGAAAAACACAAGTCAAAGTTAAGGTCTAGAGATATGAAGCTGTAATATACTAATGATGAGAGTATTAAACAAGTCTAACTTTTCTATAGAAAATTAGTCAAAATATATCACAAACTTCAAATACACATATATTTTGGTAAAGTAAATCTCCTTGTTAAAATCTATCCAAAGGAAATAATTAATAATATCTTCAAAGATTTTGCAACAGGGATAGCCATTTACAGTCTTTTTTATAATAGTGAAAAATTTTTTAAATCAAAACCCTCAAATTTCCAAATATTGAAGTTTGGTTAAATGAAAGGCAATATATTCATACGGTGGAATATTATGCAGTCCTTAAATTTGTGTTTGGATAAATACTTTTTGACTTGGAAACCATTAAAAATATACTGATAAGTGGAAAAAAGCAGTCTATAAAAGAGACTATACTGAATGATGTCATTTTTTAAGAAAAGATGTATATCCTTGTATATTAGTCTGAGAAGATGGATGGTTGTTAACAAAGTGGCTTCTAGAATGAAGTGGGTTTGACTTTCTTATTTATCTGATTTGTATTTTTAAATTTTCTTTTAAAATAATTACATAGTACTTTTATACTGGGAAAAATCAAAATTATATTTGTACTGATCTTCAGAAAGCTTTTACTATTATACATGTAAATGATTTTAAGTGTGAATTGTATATAAATATTCCCCTTTATGGCATCTTATGTATTGATGATGAATGTCCTGCATTAGTAAGTATGGGCTAATGCTCAAAATTTGTTTCTGGAATAGTCTCTTTTGGGTTCTTCAGTCTTTAGAACCCTAGCATGTGGAAGCCATCTGGCCACAGGTATGACTTTATTGAAAAATGTGTTTAACATGACTGCTGACAAGATAATTAAATTTATGTCATGCAATTAATCCAATGTTTTACCTCAGAGATTTGAATTAAAGCTAACCCACTCCCCCTTCTGTCTCTAGTCAGTATTTTTTGGGCAGCAGGGGACAAAATGATTCTGTTGAACAGAAGAAGGGGAAATTCTCAATCTGGCCAGAATGGAATGAAGCTGACGTAAACGCAGAAAAGTGGGACGCAGGCAAAGGTGGAAAAGAAAAGGACAAAATGGGGAAAAGCCCTATATTTGTAAGTAGACTTGAATGTGATTGGATTTCATTTCGGTTCTTATTTTTTTTTTGTGAGGAAGATTAGCCCTGAGCTAACATCCATGCCAATCCTCCTCTTTTTGCTGAGGAAGACGGACCCTGAGCTAACATCTATTGCCAATCCTCCTCCTCCTCCTTTTCCCCTTTTCTCCCCAAAGCCCCAGTAGACAGTTGTATGTCATAGTGGCACATCCTTCTAGTTGCTGTATGTGGGACGCCGCCTCAGCATGGCCGGGCAAGTGGTGAGTCGGTGCACACCCGGGATCCGAACCTGGGCCACCAGTAGCAGAGCACGCACACTTAACCACTAAGCCACGGGGCCAGCCCCCGGTTCTTAATTTTTTAATGGAATGAGATTTGTTACATGTGAATGTACTCATCCTTCTCCACAATCTCCACCCAAAACAGAAATTTTGTCCTTCTAGACTCCCCCATCCTACCTTCTCTTTTCAAGCCTTGGTCCTGAGCTTTGGTGAATACCATTTGAGTAAATGGGAGGAGAGAGATGACCAAAGAGTCATAATTAAATAAAGGGAAAATTGACAGAGCAGGTTAGCTAGTGATTTGGGGCAAAGCTGGGAACCAGGCATTTAGAGACAGTGGTTTAGAAAATAAAAGGCCCCAGCGAGCCTGTAAGAGATGTCACTGTGAGATAAATATTGAATCCCTCTTAATATCCCTCCCAAGATATTTGGGTAAAGATCTCAGTTACTCTTCATGTACCTGTGGCCATTTAAATATGATGTGTCCCTGAGATTGGAGCTCTAGCATTTTCCAGTTACATTATTTTAGGTTCTTTTGCCTATTTAAAAATGTTTACTCTATTTCTAAAGGCTTCTTTGTTGAGGATACAGGTCTGGGTTGCATTTAAAATATGACCTATTTATTTGGTGCTGCAATTCATTAAACAAAAATATTTATAGAACACAATACAATTTTCAAAACACAAACAAAATTGCCAGAATGGCTAGGTTGAACTCTGGTGCCTTTATTTGCAGAGAGCACTCTGAAACGCTACTTATTAAATTCGTATTTTGTTCACAAAATACAGAATCACAAACTGCATGATTCATATCAGTAATTAGTTTACAAAAGATATTCAATAAATTTAACTAATTGCTGGCTGTCAGTATTTGAACAATTTCAAATGAGCAGTGTGTGAGGGAATCCATTCTTTGTACCGTGCCTAGAGTTATTATGGAACTTTTTGATACCAAGGGCTTCTGAACTCTCTGGCTTCAAATGAAAATGTTCATACTGTATGTATTTTTAACAGAAATTCAAAATTTATGGGGATTGTGTGTGAATTTACATTAGGAAGGCAGATTATACAAATCCTCCATTAAGCAGTTGAGCTCTGGAAAAGATCTAGAGATGAGTTATGCTAAAATGTAAAGGAACAACAGGGAGAAGTGCCGACGTGCCTGAAAATTTTGAAATAGGAAATAGGATATAAAAAATAACATTTTAGGGACCCTAGAGTGCAAGAATGCCTTTATTAGCTAAAGGCTAATATGAAAACACCTTGCAGATCTCTGGAAGGTTATGTATCAAATCCTGGGAATTATCAGTGTTTGTTGGTCTGCAACCTTGGGAGTTCCCTGGGTGAAATTCAAACCTGGCCCCCATAGATGGAGGGCAAGGCCAGACTGAAGAAAGAGGCAGACCACTCCAGATTGGTAGGTGGCAGGTTTCACAAGCAAGGGAACTTACTTATGAAGCTTGTCTTGGGCGGCCACGAGACGAGATCTCTGCACCTGCCCACCAGCATCTTAAGAGTTTATGCAAAGGCCTTAACGCGGTTCAGTCATGCACACAGTCCAGATGGTCTCAATAACACATTATTCTCTCAAGGTTGCATCCTTGAAGTGGCTCCTAGTGCAGGAACAGTGGGCAGAATGTACACTCCAAGGACAGGGAAGAGTGAGGAGCCTCTGATTGCCTGTGTCCAGTTCAAAGGTCAACCAGTGGTAGTGTTGTCTTGATGATCTCCTCTAACGGTGTTATGAAAACAAGGGCAAGTCTGTTGGAAGAACATTTACAGAAGGAAAACCATTGAAACAAACATAGTGGTCACCTGATGCCCATTTCATTTGGGGGCAACATATAGGAATATTGCTGTCTGAACATCAGACCCCAAAATAAATACTGCCGCCCTTGGACTAAGGAGCTGTAAAAAATGGCGTGATTAAGGAAGCACCAGCCCCACCCTTGATGTGAATAGGGGCTGTTCCAATGGAGTGTGACACTTCAGAACTTTAGCCAACACCCTATTCTGCTACCACAGCTTTCACACTGTGTGAGAGCACCAGCGTGAACCCTGGTTATTACGACAGTGCAAAGTGACACTATCTGGGATAGAACCTTGCTCCCCACCCCAGGTTCTGTTCCACAACCTCAGCATTCATGGCTCAGGAAACCACAGCCCCTCCACCGGAGTGAGTGGTGGACACGCCAAGTCTTGTGATTACATTTCTGTGATGTGGAGGCGCAGTAGCTCTTAGCCATGATTTGCAGCTTCCATATTTTACCAGGATTAGTTGCTTTAAGCATCCAACTCTGCCAGGTTTCCTTGGAATTTCACAGAAGGCCACTTCTCTAAATGTGAGGCTAGTGATCAGGAAATCAGCCTCAGATGAGCTAACCCTTCCTTGAAAGTCCAGAGTCAGGTCTCACTTCTTCAGCTAACTGATAGCAATGAAACGATATGATGCTGAAGATTTGATGATGAAGTACTGTAAGGTGGATATAAGAAATATACCCAAAGCACAATGACATGGAAAGATTACCGTTAACTTAATGTATGGGGCTCAAATCCTGGAGAAAAGGGAATTACACCAGGATGAACCCCACATTCACCTTGTTTGTGTATTTTTTCTCAAGGACATTTATTAATTCAAGACACGGAAATTAGAGGCCAAGCAGAGAGTAGCGGCCTGGGGCTTGTGTCAGTTTCTCTGGGCTGAAGGAGAGAGGATATTGTTTGGGGCTGCCAAAGGAGCCAGAACTTGAACCAAAATACAGAGAAGTGATCTGAAAATTTTGCATATAATTTTATTTCGAGAGTCCCAACTCTTAAAGCTATGTGTGTGAAGCTTCTGCTGCCGAGCAAATGAGTAAAACGCGGCAGCTTGGAGGCTAAATAACTGAGAAAAGATTTCATGATGCTATGGCGAGAGATTAGAATTCAGGATACACAAAGGTGAAGGGACCCTGATAAACACTCCAGCTTTTCAGTTAGTGCCCCAGCGTGGCTATAGCATTCTGTATTGAGTAAGGGTAAACCAAAATTCCACCAGCCCTGTTACATCCTGAGACCCAGTGTTGAGTGGGTCAAGTTCATCTTGTGCTCTGCCTGCCAGAAGGCATTAAAATCCTCCTCTCTGGAGGAGGACATCATTATTTAGAACGTGTATAAATTTTTACATCCAGTGTATATCATACAATCAAAATTTACCAGACATGAAGAGAAACAGAACCAAGCAACTGAAAGCCACGGGGAAAAATCACATAATAGAAACAGATCTGCAGGTGACTGATTTTGGTACTGTCAGATAGAGGACTTCAAAATAAGTAATTTAATATTTGCAAGGAAAAAACAATGTGAGGGAACCCCAGAAGTTTAGTACAGCTCCTGGAGAACTCAGTCTATCTTTCAAGAACCATTCTTTGATCATTTTGACTAGATGTTGGGGTTGCCTTTGTCTTCATTCAAATTATTCCAGTATCTTAAATGTGACAAAAAACCATATGCTCCAGATACACATAGACATTTACTGATTTTTTTTTTTTTTTGCTTAGGAAGCTTCACCCTGAGCTAACATCTGTTGCCAATCTCCCTCTTTTTGCTTGAGGAAGATTCACCCTGAGCTAACATCTGTGCCAATCTTCCTCTGTTTTGTATGTGGGTCACCGCAACAGCATGGCTGCCAACGAGTGGTGTATGTCCGCACCCAGGAACTGAACCCACGCCACTGGAGCGGAGCACACTGAACTTAACCACTAGGCCATGGGGCCAGCCCCTGACACTCACTATTTTTAAAGCTGAGACTGCCCTCAAATATAACCTATGTCTCAGGCCATACCAGCATTAGGATAAAAATATGATTACCATGAAAATCACAAAACAGTATTTATTTGCCCCTGTCCGCATTACATCAGGTGAAATTTAGCTACTCTTTTTTTCCATACATGTAATTTATATTCCTTGAGCATTTTGTGTCCTCCCAGAACTTTTCATATTATGTCTTGTAAGAATCCACCCCCCGCCCCACGCATACACACACATACCGCCATAGCTTATGAGCTGTGAGAACTTTTACATAGTAGCCTCCTGAAGTCTCTCTAACTTACTAGATTGCTAGCATTTGAGAGTAGACATTTGGATATCATTCTTTCTTCAGAGCTCACTAATTGACTCAGACTAGTGGCTCAAAGATTAATGAATTAATTGCATTCTTGGGCATTTATCCCAGAGAAATGGAAACTTATGTTTACACAAAAACCTGTAATCTATACGCAAATGTTCATGACAGCTTTATTAGTAATAGCCCCAAACTGGAAACAGCCCAGGTTTCCTTCAATAGACAAATGGTAAGCAAACAAATTCCATATCATAAAATGTTACTCAGCAATAAACAAGAACAAACTATTGATACCTGCAGCAACTTGAATGAATTGAATCTCCAGGGAACTAGGCAGACAGGAAAAAAAGTCAATCCAAAAGGTTACATACTATATTATTCCATTCATATGACATTATTGAAATGACAAAGTGATAGAAACAGAGACGAGATGAGTGATTGCCAGATGGTAAGGATTAAGTACAGAGTGGGAAGTTGGAGGGTGAGTGAGCTAAAGAGCATAGGAAGGATCCTCGAGCTGATGGAACTGTTCTGTATCTTGGCTATGTCAATGTCAAAATCCGGATTGTGATGTTGTACTATAGTTTTGCAAGATGTTACCATTGGAGAAACTGGATAAAGAGAACACAGGAACTCTACATATTATATTATACAATGGCGTGAGTCTATAATTATCTCGAAATAAGTTTAATTAAAACAATTAATAGGGCCGGCCCCGTGGCTTAGCGGTTAAGTGTGCACGCTCCGCTATTGGCGTCCCGGGTTCGGATCCTGGGCGCGCACCAATGCACTGCTTTTCCGGCCATGCTGAGGCTGCGTCCCACATACAGCAACTAGAAGGATGTGCAGCTATGACCTACGACTATCTACTGGGGCTTTGGGGGAAAAATAAAAATTAAAAAAAAAAAAACAATTAATAAAAGAAAGTTAGATCAAAGGTACAAATTTCATTTACATATAATCCTGTTTATGCTTCTAACAGCTGAAAATTAAGTAAATATTTTTCAATCTTCTCTATTCAGGTAACAAAAAACAATATTTTCAGTGGAAAATATGGCCATATGTGGCCCATCCAAAATTGGTTTTCCACCGTACCTAATTCACATTCCAAAGCAGCTCTTGCTTGTTTGGACGACTTGCTCTGCGATCAAAATGCTACTCAACAATCAAGGTCTCATTAATTAAATACAGTATTGTTAACTTCAGTATTCTTCAAGTACTCCATGAATTAGCTCTGAGAACAAACAGGCAAATTGCTCTATAGAGGCTTATTTGTTGATCAGCTCTATGCACTTATTAATTTTTATTAGAATTCAGCTGTTTTTATTTTAATAAAACCATATGGAGAAAAAACTCAATATATTTTTTTATATAGCATTTTTTTGAAGACCCTGAAGGAAAGATTGAATTACCACCATCACTGAAAATTTATTCCTGGAAACGTCCACAGGATTTTTTAATTAATCGGGTAAGAAATAGTTTTACTATTGAAATACTATGGGATATAATATCCAAGTTATGAAAATTTTCGTTTTTAAAACGATATAGGGTAATTTTTTTCCTGTGGTATTCGGTAAGGAAATGTATTTACTTTTTGGCATTTAACTTAGAAATAAATGTTTCTCAGTATAGTTGAATATTTCTTCCTCTGGTTTCCAAGAGAATATTGAAATTTTGTTTAAAGGCTCTAGTTTTCTTCTTCTTCTTCTTTCCATGATGTCGAATTATAGCCTAAAATGTTGTGAGAAGTTATTCCTTAATTTCTGACACTTTCCCTTTTCTGCTTCTTAGCTGGAACTTATGTGGCGTGAAGGTCTGTTTACTCTAGGGTTTATTGGCATTAATTTCCAGCCCAAGAGATTTGCACTTGGATCTCTCTATTCTAGGGGTTCTTGAAGCATTTTCCAAGGGCCGCCTTCATTTCTGGACCCCATGCACAGCCACTTGAGTCATATTGACTGGGACATTGCCCAAGAAACCTTCATTTTAAATAGCACTTGTGTACACTAAAACTTTAGACCCACTGGTCTATCTTCCTAATAGTTACGTTAGTTTGAATATATTTGGTGTTTTGAAGGATTTAATTATCACGAATGTCTTTTTTCCCTTCTTGACTCTCCTGCTATTTTCATTTAACTCATAGAAAACCAGTAGGCTGAATTAGTTACTTAGTGCTAATCAAATGGTTGTAATGGAGCGGGTTCTTCCATGCATTATAGAATCCACTGCATCTCTGTTGCTATACAAAGTGCTTTTATTCCTAAAAGTTTTAGCCTTTATATGCATGGCTACCAAACACAATTTATCCACCATATTTTCCAATTACTGTCACTATTTGAGAAAGTCAGATAATCCTAAATTAAAAAATATTTACTAAAATGAGAAAATAAGAAGATACATCTCTATCTATCAGAGTATTTATTGAATGCCTACTTGTAAGACCTTTTAAATAAAAGAAATGAAATATACATGAACCATGTCATTAAATTACTTATAATGTTGGGTAACATTGACATGAAGAATATAAAATCTGTGATGTTAATATAAAGCACTTAATATTAATGTAGCCAGCCCTGGTGGTCTAGTGATTAAGATTCCGTGCTGTCACCACCATTGCTTGGGTTAGTTTCCCATCAGGGAACCACACCACCCGTCTGTTGGTTGTCATACTGTGGCGGCTACATGTTGCTGTGATGCTGAAAGCTATATCACTGGTATTTCAAAGACCTTTAGAGTCACCCATGGTGGACAAGTTTCAGTGAAGCTTCTAGATTAAGACAGACTAGGAAGAAGGACCTGGCCACTCACTTCCAAAAAAGTTGGCCATGAAAACCCTACGAATAGCAGTGGAGCATTGTCTGACGTAGCACTGGAAGGTGAAAGGATGGTGCAAAAAGACCGGGCGGGGTTCCACTCTGCTGCACACAGTGGCGCTAGGATTTGGAATTGGCTCAAGGGCACTAACAACAAATATTAATGTATTATTAATAATATTCAGGCACTGCTCAATATAAATGCAAAGTTTGCATTCCATGCAAATAAAAGATATGAATTCCATGAAGTGGGAGTGTTGTAAATTTGAATAAGTAAAAAGTTTTATAAACCATTTCTCTTTTTATTTTTAGAATACCTTAGTTCTGACGGATACATTTGTACTAAAAATAAATTCATTCATTGTTGTTGACGATACTTCCACCTACATTTATTATAATGCTGCCATCCATCTACCTCTACTCTCCCTCTGCACTGACTCCTTCTCTTGATCCATCGTGCTGTAGTATGGACCAGAACTGCCAGAAGTCAAAAGTCTAGCTAAGTAGGAAAGTCTTAGAATAGTGTTTTTCAAGTTTTAATGTCCAGGTCCACAGTGATAAATACATTTTACATTGAGACTCTTTAATTATGGACACATATAAAGTTTAGACAAAAGTTTTACAAAACAATAATGACCTTTCTGTGTGAGATTTACTCTATTCTATTATATTCCATGTATATAGTCCTGCTCCATTAAAATGATTTCATGAATCACTAAATGATTGCAACCCACGATTAAAAAGCACAGTCCAGCCTAGAAACATACCCCAGAACAGTCTAAGCAAAAGATGAAGTCAAAGGGCATGACTTAAATCAGAGAGAAGCTAAGATATGAAAAAACTTAAAAGCCTGGATTTAAGATATCAGAATCAATATGGGCCATTCCAACCAAGGAATTAACAAGCCCTGATCACAGAGTGAGGGATCAGATCTATTTATTTCTGAGCACCAGATATTGGTGGCCCAGGCCCTTGAGTGTTAATTATATTGAACAGATGTAAAATGTCTGAAGATTTATCTTGCCCCAGGTATAGGCATAGGAAATGGAGATGCTAAAATACTGTTGTAGAGACCTCTGCCTTAATATTTGTTGTCTTTTACAAGCCGTCAGTTCTTCCTTTTCATTTGTCAGTATGTGACTATTAGGTAAAACCCTTCAAACTTTAAAATAAGGTGTCCAATACTTATTTAATCTATAATTAATCAATTATAATTAATTGATCAGTTTTAATCAATTATAATTAATCTATAATTAATCAGTTTTAATGCACAGTGGTGCTTGCTGAAAGGTATGGGCATTTTAGAAGTGTTGCATAGTAATGTCAAACCAGAATATGTATATATAAAACTTACTATGTTTATAAATTATGAACATAAGAGTCAATTCAAGCTTTCAAGGTAGTTTTAGGTAAATTTCTCTCAGACATAAAAAATTATTTTATTGAGTTTCAAGATGCTAGTTGTATAGATGATTGAGGATAATTGATGGCATTAGTTTCCATAAAAAGTCTGTTTCACTAATCAAAACCATTTTTATGTTAATTGGATATGTTAAATATATAAGCTTGATATGAATTGTAACTCATTTTTTAAAAACTGTTACAAGTTGTGTTTTCCCCTATTATGTTTATTCCTTGCTGGTCTAAATATATAAAAGCAACTTCAATTATATTCCAATGAAATAATGATCATCAAATTAATTTTTAAAAAAATAACTGGACTTAAAGTTGGGCAAAACTTTAAAAGCTGTCACAGCTTGTATTTTTCATGCAGGATGAAGATAGTTTTCCAGCTACCAGATGTTAACTAAGCTTCAGGTTTAACTTGAGTGGTTAATTTAAATTTCAAATCACTTTTTAAACTCTCAGTTTGTCTATGTATGCATACTAAGTTTATCTACATATATTTTCGAACATTTTATTTGTATATTAAAATACTGTATTTTATAGGCATTACATTATTAAGTTAATGTCGCCTACTTTTCTAACCAGATTATCTTATGAAATAATATGCCTACTTTTTATTTCTTCTAATTCCTCTGGTTGTGAGAAATGAAATCAGATTTGGCCTATTTCCAGCACATGAAACTTGATTACATTGAGCAACATTTTCTTTATTTTTCCTAAGGAGTAATATCTATTTTTATTTTCTTAATTTTATTTCAGGTTCCAGTAGTCGTGAAAAATGAAATCCTGTTTGACTTGTTCTCAGCAAATGAACATTTGCTCTGCAGCGAGGTGCGTAATGAAGTGTGAGTGAAAGGCTCGTTCTGGCGGGCCTTCCCGCCCTGCTTACACAATTCCCAGTCAGGTTCAGTTCTCCCGGGCCCTCCCTCAATTTTGGTATAACCGAGCATTTTATCCGCCAGACAAGAGAAGCCCCTTTAATTGGGTTTAGCGTGCAAATGGCGGGAAAATGTTAGTATTCACACTGCTGGTGCCCCTATTCTCCAGCCCCGGGAACTGGTTTCTCACAATCTGGGCATTTCTCCCCCAGACTCATGTGCCTAGCAATTGACATAAAGTCGCTGCCCCTCTCGCCCCATGTCCAAGATTTGCCCCGTGTTGTGATATTGTTTGATGTGCTAATGTGGGGAAAATCATGGGGTACAGTTTGATTTCAATACCTTGTTGAAACAAGCCAGATTTTCAGCACAGCAATCCTACTTCCCAGGGGGACACACCTCCCCAGGTCTCCACCCTGGGTTTTATCCATCAAAAGCAGACCTGTTCCACTCCTTTAAGGTAGTTACATCAGAAACAGAGACCTTTTGATTATTTTCTCCTAAGCACCAGTCAGAGGAGTGGCGCATAGTCAATTATCGATTCAAATACTTTGTCTTTCTTGTCTTTAATATCTTGACCAATATTAAAATCAGCATATTTATTTCTTCAACCAGGTTGTACTGATTAGCATAAAATTATCTCCAGATTGTTTCATATGATAAATTTTAGTCTAAAATATACTTATTTTATGAAGCCTAAACATACATAATAGTTTCACTGTCCATTTTTCAAGGGAAGAAAAGTATAAAACATTCTATAGTAAAGTTTTCAGATATATAGGAGGATATCTGATTTGCCTTTTTCAACTCAACCAAGAAATTAAAAGAACCAAGAAATTAAGAAATTTCCTAGATAATGCAAATTAAGGAAAACGTAAATCTTATGAGGTCAGTCTCAAGTATTTAATCTCCTTATAAGCCAAGCAGTAAAACATGAGATGAATATTTCAGAAAATCCAGTAGTATTGAGGGTAATAATGGCTTTACTTAACACCCACTGTGACCCAGAGATTTCTTAAACATCGTTTCTATTCCTCATAAAAATGCTGAAAAATAGATAGTATAATCTACATTTAACAGCTGAAAAACTGCAATTTAGAGGGCTGAAGTAACTTGTCCAGGGATCTGAAGGAAGATTCAAGTCCTAGTCTCTATTTCTGCTCTGAGGCTCAGCTGAGCCGGTTAAAAACACTGCAAGTTTTGGGCTGGCCTGGTGGCATAGAGGTTAAGTTTGCGCGCGCTCTGCTTTGGAGGCCCGGGGTTCGCAGGTTCGGATCCTAGGCATGGACCTATGCACCGCTTATCAAGCCATGCTGTGGCAGTGTCCCATATAAAATAGAGGAAGATGGGCACAGATATCAGCTCAGTGCCAATGTTCCTCAGCAAAAGAGAGGAGGGTGGGCAGCAGATGTTAGCTCAGGGCTAATCTTCCTCAAAAAAACAAAACAAAACACTGCAAGTGGGAGTTTTCCTCGGAGCACTTCTGCACCCACAGATCCACACATACAATATGAGACTTAGAGTATATTTAAGTGTAATTTTAATTCTTTCATGTCTCATTCGTTGTCTAATTGTCCTATTGACATAAAAAACATCATTTCCTTCTCAAACTTCTCAGCATTTCTAGAAGAGTAGTTATTTATAAAAAGTTAATTCCAAAATAAAATCATCACTTCTCTCAGAAGCACTCAGTCTCTCTGTCTGTCTCTCTCTCTTGCACACAGACACACACACACACACACACACACACACACACACAGAGCTGAAATGAAGGTCAAAGTCAAACGGAAGTCAATGTCAAATCATTGACAGTTGGCTTTGGAAGGCAGCTCTAGGTTAAGAGTGTGTTTAATATTAGACTTTTTAGCTTGTATTGTGACTGTATTTTCTGAAAACAAAACCAAGACCTATGATTTTATTCTGTAGGTCAGAAATCAAACTGTAGAATACATTACCTGTAGAATTTAATATTACTATTGGAAATAGATTTTTGACTGGTTTTCCCCTAAACTACAGTGCCAACAACTGAAGAATAACTAATTTTAACACCAATGGTTTTTGTCTCTAGCTGATGAGATGGATTATCAGCGAAATCTATGCTGTGTGGAAGATCTTCAACGGGGCTCTTTTGAGCAATTATTTTAAAGGGACTGCAGGGGACCCTCCTCTTCTCGTCTGGAAGCCCTGGGAACACATATACTCTCTGTGCAAGGCTGTGAAGGGTCACATGCCTCTGTTCAATAGCTATGGAAAGTATGTCGTGAAACTTTACTGGATGGTAAGTTCGTTCATGCACATGCACATTGAAACTCATGTGTCTTTCATGTTTCAAGTCTGACCTGCTGTGAACTAGGCTAATAGAAGATGACTCAGTTTACACAGGCTATCAGTCATGAAGCTACTGGGGAAATATCCTGCCTCTGTAGTTTGGAATTAATAAGAAACACATTTGTTTCTCCTGCGATCCCAGTCCCATGTGCTTTTTAAACTGATTCTCTTTGGAGCACGGAGGGGCAGCCGTCTGCTGCCTCTGCCCTCTCAGGCAGGTGGGCTGGGTAGCAGGTGGATGCACAGGCCTCTCTTCCTACTTCTATCCTCTGTGATGTGACATCAGGTCATGGGCAGGAAGGAGAGCTTGAGTGTGGTCTGGTCCTTCTCTCCTGGCACTTGCTGCTACTGAGGGGCCTGATCCCATCCGTTTTTTGTCCTAAGCTTGAGATTTGTTTTCGTGTTAACAAATCTTACTCTGACATACAAAGTTTTTACCTCTGTCTGAAAGGAAGAAAATGGGGTAGTAGGAAGTACAAATAGAGATTTAAAAATCCCTTAGTTAATATGACAAAGAAGACTCACGCCACATTTAGCAATGCTAGATTATACTAAACACCTTTGGGTTTTTATTTTTTTTGCTGAGAAAGATTAGCCCTGAACTAACATCTGTGCCCATCTTCCTCTATTTTGTATGTGGGTTGCTGCCACAGCATGGCTGATGAGTGGTGTAGGTCCGTGCCCAGGATCTGAAACCGTGGACCCAGGCTACCAAAGTGGAGTATGTGAACTTAACCACTAGGCCATAGGGCTGGCCCCACCTTTGGGTTTTTAGTAGTGGAATACTCTTTCTAAAGGTCCAAAGTCACAGGAAGGACCAGCTACATGATTTGCAGAGCCTCTTGTTCAAGAATTATTACAAATTTCAAGAGAGTGATAGCAGCACTTTAAACCAAGCATGGGGTCCTTCTGAGTGTGAGGTCCCAGGTGACTGCACAGGTCACATACTCATGAAGCTGATCCTGGTCACTGAGAAAGAATATTCTTGAACATTTGAGGGGCTGAGGAAAGTAGGAAAAATTAATCATTCCATTCAATATTTCTAAGAACATGACTTTTCTTTAATGAGCCCAAGCCATCTATCTTCCTGGGATGGGAAATGTTGAAAGGCCAATGGTTAGGAATTAATAGGATCATTACAGAAGGAAGGTAAAGGTAAAAAAGATAATCTTAGCCTCTGATATTCAATATTTTGTTTTTTTGATACAGCAAGACAGGAGAACTTGAAAGTCAAAACGTTGTTAGGAAAGAAAATAAATTCCTAAATTCCCTTATCTTCATTTACCAATCAGAGGGCAGATTTGGCAGACTAGACTTGAGAAATTGAAAGTGTGCAGAGAGGACTGAGAGGGAGGATATGGCATTAAGAAGGTAGATACACAGTCGATAGAGTTGAGGGCTTATAGAAAGAAGGTAATCAGGGGAAGAGTGAGGGGGTCAGATGCCTGGGTATTTGGCCCCAACTTCTGCACATTTCCATAAACTTGAGGAGGGAGGGAGTTCAAAATTCTTAGGAATTTCAAAACGGCATCAGCAGAACATTAAACCAACCCTGTTAGTTTCTCTCTCTCTCTCTTCCTGCTTCCTCTCATCTCTCCTTCTTTTCAAATTTCCTTCTGGAGAGGGGTCAACAGCTATTAACACTACGTTCCATTTTGCAAAGAAAATGTGATTTATTTCTCTTTAACTGTCCTAATTCCTCACAAGCACAAACTCACTTGGATTCAGAAATTTAAAAAAATATCTATATCTTTAGTCCAATTTGGAAATCTCGGTCTGATCCAACCATTGAACTTGTCTCTTTAGATAATGCCACTCTTGAGGGAAGAGGGCTAGGAATGTGGCAGTGAGAGAGACTGAACCTCATGTCCAATGGCTTCTTCTGGTTGCGCATTGATTTCCCCTGAGGAATGGCTTGTTGGGGATGCTGCTAGACTGTTCAGCACAGAGAGACAACTGGTTCCATGTGAATTATTTTGGTAGGCAATTTATTGGCACTCATTGCTGAAGTACATGGCCATAGTCTTGCTCACTGAGACTGAGAGGAAACTTTGCTGGCCCTCAGCATTTCCAGATCTGTTGTTGAACCACATGGGCCCTTTAGAGTCCCTTGCACACAAAAGGAAAGGACCACATCCCTCAAGATAACAGACATGTAACATGTCATGGAACGAATATAGGTGAAGATAAAATGTGGTAATTATGTAAAAGAACCTAGCAAAGGTCCTGACAAACAGTAGATTCTTAACACTAATAGTTTCCTTCCTTCTTTCCTTTATTATTTGATTCCTTCTCTCTTTCCCATTGCTACCTCCTACTATGGAAGCCAAAGAGATGAATCATTCCTCTTCTTGCCCCTTGGTAGAGCTGAGGGAAAAGCATATGATCAGTTCACTAGGTGCTCACTTGCCCAACAGTGGTTCTTTTGTGTGTGTGTGTGTGTGTGAGAGGAAGATCAGCCCTGAGCTAACATCCCTGATAATCCTCCTCTTTTTGCTGAAGAAGACCGGCCCTGAGCTAACATCTATTGCCAATCCTCCTCCTTTTTTCCCCCCCTTTTTTTCCCCAAAGCCCCAGTAGATAGTTGTATGTCATAGTGGCACATCCTTCTAGTTGCTGTATGTGGGACGCAGCCTCAGCATGGCCGGACAAGCAGTGCGTCAGTGCGCACCCGGGATCCAAACCCTGGCCGCCAGTAGCGGAGCGCGCGCACTTAACCGCTAAGCCACGGGGCCGGCTCCACAACAGCGGTTCTTGAGCGACGATGTGAGGATGGAGGGGATCTACAGTGCTGGCTGGCAGTGCTCTGACTGCTTCTGCAATATGGCCTTCCTCTGCTTCTTTTGCCCAGACTTGCTTAGTTTCTGCCTTGTTTTGATTCTCGCTCCTCTAGTATCCCATCAAATCTGTACATCCATTATATACTTCATGAACTGCCTACTTATAAAACAGCTTATTTCAAGTTTTGCTATGGAATTGTAAGTATCCTTTTATATGTTGTAGATAATAATACATGTGGGTGTAGAGGAAGTGCTTTTGAAATTCATCTTTTAACTTTGCATCTTCCAGCCAACTGAGACTTGCGATTTTTATGTAGTCGATTATGTCATTGTTTTTCTTTACAGAGTCTAGGACATTTTTGTCATTTAAAGTAGGATATCACTATCTCGAGAACATGAAAAATATTCTCCCTTAATTTTATCTAGTATTTTTTAGACTTAAAAAAATTTTTTTTTTTTAATTTTACTGTTAGGGCCTTTAATTTGTTTTATCTACTGTGAGAAATAAAGATGTGGTTTATTTTTTATTCCAAAATCTCAGCCAGTTGCCCCGGCATTATATATTGAATGTGCTACCTTTTACCCACTGATTTTAAAAACCACTTTTGTGGTACATTAAATTACAATATGATCTTGTATTTGGTTCTGGACTCTATTTTCTTCCACTATTTTTCTTATCCTGTTCAAATACCGTATTGCTTTAATTATTATGAACTTATAGTTTGTTTTGATTTTTTAGGACAAAATCCACCTAATACTCTTTTGTTTCAATGTTTTCGTGGCATATATGTTTTTCGAATAAACATTTCTACTGGTGTTTATCTTTGAACACATATTTGTAATTATTTATCCTTTATTCTGTGTATAAAAGGGTTTAGTCTTCATCACTGGTTTTTTCCTACTACAGCTTCATTATCTTTTTTTTGTGTGTGTGTGTGAGGAGATCAGCCCTGAGCTAACATCTGCCAATCCTCCTCTTTTTTTGCTGAGGAAGGCTGGCCCTGGGCTGACATCCGTACCCATCTTCCTCCACTTTATATGGGATGCCGCCACAGCATGGCTTGAGAAGCAGTGTGTCGGTGCGCGCCTGGGATCCGAATCGGCGAAGCCCGGGCCACCGCAGCGGAGTGCACACCCTTAACCGCTTGGGCCACCGGGCTGGCCCGGGCTTCGCTGTCTTCAGTATTTTATTTTGATTCATCTTTCAGTCAGATGGAGTATGCATTCTAGAATTTTATTCACTTAGAATATATATTTAGTATATTTTGGGAAACTTTGAATAGTACAATTTTTCTGTTTTCCTTTCTACATGATTGCTAGATGAATGATAATGTGGTTACATATGGAATACTTGGATAATAAACTCTTTGTTTTAGAACACAATAGCCAACGCCTGAGTATCTTCTGGTGTTAGCGTTACAGACACACATTCTGAGGCCTTTCCTCTCCAGCCTACCTTAAACCCTGGTGCCCCCGTCGCCGGCCCATGCCTCATTTTTGTCCGTAGCACTGAGAATGGAACATCCAGAGCCCCATCCCCTTAGCGTGTTCATGAGTGTATGTGAAAATATATAAGAGGCTGTTACCCTCTAGATGCTTTCTTGTTCCAGGCTTTTGCTTAAATATGTATTTCTTATATTCGTATACTGGTCCAACCTGCCGTTCTTTTCATGTGGTAAATACACAAGCCAGATTACTGTGTTCCCCTGCTAGTCCTCCTCTGCTTTGGTCCATTCTTCAGAATTGGAATCGTAGTCCTCAAAAGGGTACAGAAGAGCAACGACAACAGTGATAATAAATAAATAGATGGATGTAATTTTTAAAGGGCAGAAAGCAAGCACTTGGCTGTCTCAGAGGCTGTATCCATGTGATGGAGAGGTGGCTGCCTGTAGAAATCAGTGCAGTGTCAGTAGAAATCTGTGCTCTCTGGGCTGGGGGTGGAAATTTCTACCTAGTTCCCAAGTGATAGGGCCGAGTCAACACCTGTGTGCGTATTAGGTCTAGTAAAGAATTAAGTAAATTCTTTCTGACAAGACGAATTATATTGTTATTTTTCTTCCTTTCTTGTCCCTTTCCAGACATACACAATTTAATTTATTTTTTTCTCTTCCAATTGTAGCTCAGTATTTAAATGACTATCCTTTGCTTTTCACTACAAACCATGTTCATCAAAATATGCTTTGTTACCTTGTAATACTTGACTCAGTATGATATACTGGAGACACATCTTCTGCCCTACATTTATTTTCCTTCCTTTGTCATGTCTTGTATACCTTCAGTCTCCTCCCAACAGTTTTTCTTCTTCAATTTTTCTTTTTTTTGGTCAGGAAGATTGACCCTGAGCTAATATCTGTGCGGATCTTCCACATTTTGCATGGGGGACGCCGCCACAGCATGGCTTGATGAGCAGTGTGTAGGTCCGCACCCGGGATCCGAACCTGCAAAACCAGAGCTGCTGAAGCAGAGCGTACAAACTTAACCACTACGCCGCCAGGCCGGCCCCCTTCTTCAATTTCTTGATGCTTTCTTACTTTTTTCTTATTGGACCCTGATTTTCCTTTTCTGCCTTATTACAATCCTCCCTCAGTATTCGAAGGGGATTGGTTTCAGGATCCCCACAGATACCAACGTCCGGGATGCTCAAGCCTCTCCTATAAAATGGCGTAGTATTTGCATGTAACCCATGCACATTCTCCCCTACACGTTAAAATCATCTCTAGATTGCTCATAATACCTAATGCAATATAATTGCTATGTCAGTAGTTGTTATATACTGTATTATTTAGGGAATAATGACAAGAAAACAATCTATACATGGTCAGCTCGGAGGTAACCACCATCGGCCTTTCCGTCTGTGGTTGGTTGAATCTGCAGATGCAGAAACCGTGGATAGAGAGGCCCGGCTGTACATATTTCCTTCTCCCCCTATCCTGTTGTCCCTTGAAGCCTTCACCTGAATCCCTGCTTTGAAGTAAACCAACCTCTCAGAGCCTCTCTGCATGACGTTTAAAGTTCACCTTTTCACACTAGCATATCATTTTCCCCATAAAAGTCTTCCCACCATTTCTGGTTTGGATTCTAAGTAAATAGTGTCAAGGTTCTTTGACATCAGCCAGGCAAAAAAAATTAGTGCATAGCATAAGGAACGATGTCATAAAATAGAGAAATTTTCCCTCTTCTTTCACCTGGCAGTGATAATGCCGCTCCTGGGTACTTGCCAATTTCAGTATCCCTCTGGCTCCTTTGAAAGAAGCAATTCAGATATTACTATCTCTCCGCTTGAAGTATGGATTGCTCTTGGCAGCCTTTCTCTGAGTGTCCCAATGCTGTATTTGTCTCTGAATAAAGACAGAACACACACACGTTGGGACCGATAATTTGCCCCAGTCGCCGTCAATCTACTGATATAAAAAATGTATTAGCTTTTGTTTATGATTGACCCTTGACTTTTTTCTCTTTTTCGTGAGGAAGACTGGCTCTGAGCTAACATCCATTGCCAATCCTTCTCTTTTTGCTGAGGAAGACTGGCCCTGGGCTAACATCCATGCCCATCTTCCTCTACTTTATATGGGATGCCACCACATGGCTTGATAAGCAGTGTGTTGGTCCACTCCTGGGATCCGAACCTGCGAACCCCTGGCCGCTGAAGCACAGTGCGTGAACTTAACCACTATGCCACCAGGCCAGCCCCTAAGCCCAATATTATTGTAGAATTCAGAGTTTCTTAAACTGTGGGGTGCAGAAACCACCAGCATCAACACCACCTATGGTGCTTCCTGTGCCCCAACCCAGACTCCCTGAGTCGAGGTCTCTGGGCAGAGCCCACATCGGCATTTGAAACAAACTCTCTCCCACCCAGTGACATTTTTGTTCTTCGAACTTGAAGAACAGTGTTTTCAAGATATATACCATGACAAATTATTTTGCTATCATTCATTGATTTTTTTCCAAAATGGAAATGTTTTTATTCTTATTTCATCATTATTAGCATCATCTATGCTTTTAGTAAAACAAATTCAAACACTATTAAAATGTTCAAAGTAGAAAATGAAAGTTCTCTATGATTCTACCTACATAGACAAACATTTTGATGGTCTTTTAAAATTATGTGGTGCTAACACAGTAAACTCAGTAAAAAACATCCAATATACATCATTTATGTGCAGTAATAAAAAATAATAAATGCAAAAACAATTCAATGTTCTATAATAAGGTCTCAAATAAATTATTTATACTTATATATCCGTATACTGTTTTATTTTTTCATAACTTTGAGGCAACCAACCAATGAACTAATATCAATGAATCAAAAAAATTCCAAGAAAATTGTTATAACTCTAGTAATTATAATTCTATAATTATAATAATTATAATCTCTATAATCCTATAAGTCAAATGATGTTTTATATATGTAATACTGAACATTTGTCCCTGTGTATTTATTTTGTAGCAGCTTTATTGACATAAAATTCACATACCATACAGTTTACCCATTTAAAGTGTACAGTTCAATGGTGTTTAGTAATCAAAGCGTTCTTAATTGAAATATGTTATCATTAACCACCCGGAAACAGGTGATATTTGTTGAACTGGTCTAACTTAAGTTCTGATGGCTGCTTAAAACTTCCCCTTCATAGGAATCCAGCCCCTTTAAAAATTTTTTTGAAAATCACAGTGTAGGAAGGGGACTCCTGTTACTATTCTGTTATTGTGGTCTAATATGCATAACATAACACTGAGCATTTTAGCTGTTATAAATGTGCAATTCAGAGGCATTGTGTATTTTCACTATGCTGTGCAATGACCACCACTATGTATTTCCACGACTTTTTCATCATCCCAAACAGAAACTCTGTACCCATTAAACAATAACTCCTCATCCCCCTCTTCTCCCAGCCTCTGGTAACCTCTATTATCTTTTTTGTCTCTATAAATTTGCTTTTTCCAGGTACCTCATGTAAATGGGAATGATTCCACTTACAATTCCAGAATATTTGTCCTTTCGTATCTGGCTCATTTCACTGTGTATTCTTTTGGGTCATTTCGTTGGAATTAGAAGAGGCAGTGGCTAACACCTGTGCCTTTAACCCTGTCTTGTCCTACATCATCTATTAGGGAAGAAAGAAAAAGACATATAACCACTAAATAAGGCAATGTGAGTTCAGAGTTACAAGTGTCATACAAAGAAAACATCTTTCACCTTTTTCCTCCTATATGTCTGGGAAAAATATACTGTTCTTTGGTTCAAATGTTACCGTCTTATGAAGACTTCCCCCAAGCAAAATTAGCCACACTTTCCTTTCTGGTCCTAGAGCACTTTGAACATATATTTTATATGCTTTGCATATATGTGCCTTCTCTCACTGCACTATAAGCAGTTCAGTGGCTTAGGCCATAGTTAGGTAGATCTTTGGGTTCACAATGCTTCCATCACTGCTGAAAATATTTCTTGCAGAAGAAATGAAGAAATAAATTCATAATAAGATTTCACATGTAAAACCAAAGTTTAAAAAAGACTTTGCGTTCACAATCATTAATGTTGTCATTTGTCTCAAGCTTTTAATTATCAAGTAATAAGCATACAGGTAAATATAATGATTTTATTAAAGTATTAATTAACTTCATGTCAAAAAATTAGCTCTTTAATTAGGAATAGGGGTAATATGATAATTGGAGGTATAAGGTCACTGAACCTATCAGGATAAACAATAATTACCAAAGTTATATTTGGAGAATTTGCATTATGACTATATTAAGTTATTTAATTTTGCCCAAACTCATCCATGGTTGTGTAATGTTTTGGTTCTGCCATTTGAAACATTTTAATTTACTGCATTATGCAGGATGGGGCACTCAAGAATGTGCTTACAAGACCTCATAAATAATGACGCTATTGATATAGATAGGGATGTGCTGTAATTACATTAAATAAAATAATAAACTAAAATTGTCAGCCAGAATACTTTTGAAAACCAGTATATCAGTCTTTCAATGTAAGAAGCTAACATAAAATTGTAAAACAGTTATGTCAGAAGTGTACAGTACTGTATGAGAGAAAATAATACAAATCATTGATGCTATATTCCTTTCTTTTCAATTTTAGGGTTGCTGGAGAAAGATAACTATTGATGACTTTCTGCCTTTTGATGAAGATAACAATCTGTTGCTTCCAACTACAACCTATGAATTTGAACTCTGGCCAATGCTTCTGTCTAAAGCTATCATCAAGCTGGCAAATGTTGAGTACGTAGAAGGAGGGATTATCATTCACTTGTATAAAAACAAAAAGCAAACTACAACAACAACAATTATACATCTATATTGCACAGCTTTATTTTTTAAAAAGTAAATTAAAAAAGCTGTCTTTACAAACAATGTAAACTTTCTAATATAAAAATGAATATGCCAAAGTCACTGATTTGAAGTATTGGGTTGACCAGCAATAAGTTAAAATTCCTCCCAAGAAAAAAATACTGAAAAATTGTTCTATATCCAGTGCTCTCTTACTGTGAACGGAAAGTCAATCAGAGTAAATAGTGTTTCAGCTTAATAGGAGAAAGAAGTTATTTTGTAGGGGGACATATTGGTTCATGTACCTACTGAATAATGTATGCTGGAATCCACTTAAAGTTTTAAGTTCTGTATATGCAGCAATAATTTACTAATTTTGAAAAACCTGAACTGTTCCGAAGGATGTCAATGTATCTCTGATGCTTTTGTTGACATAGTCCCTTTTAATACATTCACGATGAAAGCTATTCATATTTCTTGAATATTCTTGTGAAATCTGCTTGTGTCATATTCCTTCTTGCCTATGCACCAACATATAAGAGACATGTCTGCTATGGTTATCTGTCAGCTTCCACTTACAGAGACTTGTGGTCATTCCATCCAGGCCCTAGCAATGCAAAAACCTTGGATGCTTGAATTGTAAATGCATGGCAACTTTGTATCGTTGCTCTGCAGGAGAATTCTCACATACACTGCCCCATCTTCATTTTGATACACTTCTCCCCCTGCAGCCTGTCACAGCATCTCATTTCCAACAGAACACACCCACATGTTTTTTAACAGACCATTTTAGCCATTTGTTCACAGCTCAGCCTTCTCCCCTTTTATAAACATAGCAGTGTCAGTCAGAAGCCAAGTCTGCTTTTTGTGGATTTTCTTTTGGCCAGCTTTCTTTGTCTCTCCCGAGGCTCCACAACAAAAACAACCACTCCCGCTGCCATCCTCTTCATCTCTCTTTTCTCTTACCAACCCTCAATTTTCTAGTGGGTATTTGCTTCACCCAGCTTGCAGCCCTTAATTTCAGTGCTTTCTAAAAAACTCAGCCGAGATCTTTTTAGGTAGCTGAATATTGCTAAGTATTCACACTGGTGACAACTATGTTTGTTGATTTTGAAAGAAAATAAGATTCCTAATATTCCTAATTCTCAGACCTAACTTGGAGTTCTGAGAATTAGAGCTGCAAGTCCAGTGAAGCATGAAATGCATGGCCTGGATAATTGGAGAGGCGTTTTATCTTCCTTAAAGCTATAGGTCGGTAGAACTTTCTAGCAACTTGAGTAATAGAATTATTCTTATTTTTAAGAAATAAATAAATCCAGCTTGGAAATAAAGGATCAGACTAAATGTAAGACATTTCTCAGGCTTTCTAGTGGAAATCTGCACTATGTGGTATAATTTATAATTGTCCATACATTCGTCTCAGATTTTATAGTATATAGTGATTATTTACATGAGCTTTAACTTTCTACATTAAAAAAGTTAGTATATAGGGGGATGGCCCCGTGGCTGAGTGGTTAACTCCGCGCGCTCCACTTTGGCAGCCTGGGGTTCGCGGGTTCAGATCGTGGAAGTGAACCTATGCACCGCTCATCAAGCATGCTGTGGCGGCATCCCATATAAAGAAGAAGAATATGGGGACAGATGTTAACCCAGGGCCAATCTTCCTCAGCATGAAGAGGAGGATTGGCAACAGATGTTAGCTGAGGGCTAAGACAGCCTCATAGCCATCTTAGAATAATTACTGAAGTCAGAAATATGAAAGACCCTGTTCTATTTTTAAAAGAACAACGCGATAGTATATTGAATACATAAAATATATATTATCTGTATTTACATATTTTATAGTATACAATATGTATGAATATGTTTTATGTATGACATCAATATTAATTTACATATTTTTAAAATAAAGGCTATACGCATGTTTTGTAAATAGACATGGATTTCATCATTGGATCTAAGTGCTTTAACAAAACAAGTGATCTGGCTGTTGGAATAGTATTTCTTGTACTATAATGTATAACCAACAGGACCCCTACCTTTGTGATTACATGGCTTTTTATTAGAGATTCCTATTCCTTACATGCCTCTCTGTGTTTTCAAATTTTATTAACTGCACTACTGTGTCTTTGCTTTTTTAGCATCCATGCAGCAGAGAGGAGAGAACTGGGAGAGTTTACAGTTCTTCACGCACTCACAGGGTGGTTACCAGAAGTCATTTCTCTCCAGTAGGTTTGATCTTTAAGTTGCTTTATATTTTCTTGTTTCTTCCCCACTAAGGTTTCTTTAACTAAAATGTTCTTAGTCTTTAAAAAAATTTCAAGAAAGGTCACATTTTACAAAATGTTTGGGAGAATAATATTTTACAGTATTATATAAAATTCCTTGAGAATTTCAGGATAAATTCTGTTTCCTTATATGTACTGTGAATTTAATTCTTAAATATCTGAATTATAAGTATTAAAACAATGTTAATTATTTATTATGGTAAAATATTTACAGCTGTCCCTTTATACTTATACAGCTATTACATTTATTCAGTATAGATAAACAAAGGCAACTTTTAACTGGCCACACATATTAGGAAATAATTAATAATAATAAAACACCCCTTAGGCATTAGGCACTTTAATATATTATTTCTGATTAAAAACCACAGTCCAGAAAAGATTATTGTATCTAATCATCCATATGACCCCATCAGCTAGGTATATGTCATTACAAACGAGGAAACTGAAGCTCAGAATAGTTGAATTCCCCAAAACTGTGCACATTATACCTGGAGGAGATAGAATTTGAATCTAAGTCTCGCTGGATCCAAAGCCCACAGTCTTTCTGTCCTATGATTCTAGATATACAGAGATTGCTGATCTATGTCCAAAAAAGAGAGATCATTTAATGTAATGCTTACTTAAAAATTCACAAATACTTTTATTTCATACATAAAAGTTATAAACATACAATTTGATTGTATTGCCATTGCCAGTGGCAATTAATCTGGTTAAGGTGCGTAGAAAAGAATTATATCAATAGATCTGAACATATCAATTCAGATGCTGATTTTTACAAGGAGATCAAATCCATGGTACAGTTATCAATTTGGATCATCTCTGATCTTTGGTTGATGTTGCAAAGCTATCATTCCCCAGGGTGCATGTTAGAGGAGATTGAAGATAGCCCTTATTAACTTGGATTCTACCATCTAAAGCATCTTTTCAGCAGGATAAACTAGCTATTGCTTGGTTCAAATAAAAATATTTGCAGGGAAAACAATGGGAGGGTAGACATCCTCTTCAAAAGACCACTTTCCTGAAGGAGAGCTGATCTTGTCTTTTTATCTTAGGGAAAGGTCCAGATGGCACCTGGTAGATCTCATGGAAAATCCTTTTCTGATATCTAAGAGAAGAGAATATTTCCTGACATAATAGAGACAATGTTAGTGGAGAGAAGTAGAGAGAGAATGGGATTTACAAGTATGGACTTTTCTAAATTTTTATCTTCAGTGTTGATGGAATGCTTACAATTTTGCCTTAATTTTCCCTGCACAATAAAGGGATAAAAGTCAATAAAGATACCAGAGACATAAAATGATCAGAAGTCTGGCAGAGAATGGTAAAGAAACAGGAGAGGACAATAATTCACAACTAGAAAATCAGTAAACTTTTTTTGTGTGTGAGGAAGATCAGCCCTGAGCTAACATCCATGCTAATCCTCCTCTTTTTTTTTTTTTGCTGAGGAAGACTGGCTCTGAGCTAACATCTATTGCCAATCCTCCTCCTCTTTTTCCCCGAAGCCCCAGTAGATGGTTGTATGTCATAGTTGCACATCCTTCTAGTTGCAGTATGTGGGACTCGGCCTCAGCATGGCCAGAGAAGGGTGCATCGGTGTGCGCCCGGGATCCGAACCCGGGCCGCCAGTAACGGAGCGCGAGCACGTAACCGCTAAGCCACGGGTCCAGCCCGAGAATCAGTAAATTAACAATTGTGAATTGTCTCTTGCTAGAATCATACAGTGAATCATACATAGAAGTTGAGAATGGTGTTCATATACTTTCATAATTATAAGTAGACCACTTTAATAATTAATAATAAAATTTTGAAGGATTTTAGATGTCCAATTTGCATGAATTTATGTTTGCTTATGAAATGCCTAAGAAAATGATGTAAGGGGAAAAGGCTTGAGCTTTGGAGCCAAAAGTATAGCTATACTTACATTCTTATACTTTCCATTTCAAAGTGAGTGAATTTTGCAAGTCATGTAATTTCTCTGGGCCCCAGTTTCTTCATATATTAGAGGGATAAAGTGATCTATAGTCTTGGGTTGTTCTGAAGATTAAGGGAATAGGTGAGAGTGTCAGAAAAAGTAGCTAGTGTAAGGTGAGACATAATTAGTGAAAGTTTCCCTTCTCTAATGACTTTTGTTAGGTTATTTAATGTTATCTAGAAATATGTATGGTAGTTAGTGATGGACCTTTGGAGACAGGAAAAAGTCTAAAGAAGAATAAGAGAGACTGACACAGACATTCAAATTTATCAGTTTTCTTCTAAATACAACTACAAAGTAAAAGCTACTATCTTTGGTCTAGGGCATGATTTGTAGGACTTTTCCTTGTGAACATTCTGCCACATTATTCATATAAATTTAAATTACAATTATACTATAAAATTACAAAGTTAACTTGCATGTGTGTATATATATATGTCATTTTAAATGAAAAGAGTATCATGAAACAATATACAAATGATTGTCCAGAAATGTTTAAGTTGAAATATGGGAGCAATCACCATCTGCCAAGGGTGCAGGCAGGGGTCAGACATCGCTTCGTGGAGAAAGTTCTGACTTGATCTGAGCCTTTACTCTTCGCTGGGTGTGATTTGAAGGAAAGGAAGGAGGGGCCGTTGAAGGCAGGAGAACAATATAATCAAAGCCATGGTATGTTCAGGGTTGGGATGTTTCTGTTACTAAGAAGGGTTAGAGGGCCGGCCCCGTGGCTTAGCGGTTAAGTGCACACGCTCCGCTACTGGCAGCCCGGTTCGGACCCCGGGCGCACACCGACCATGTTGAGGCCGCGTCCCACATACAGCAACTAGAAGGATGTGCAACTGTGACATACAACTATCTACTGGGGCTTTGGGGGAAAAATAAATAAATAAACAAACAAACAAATAAATAAATACATAAATAAAGGGTTAGAGTGTTCAGAGAAAGCCCCGATGGGCTTGGCCAGTTGTGGTCACGGCTTTACAGAGGTCAAGGAGAATTAGAGTATTCACGGTTTTACAGAGGTCAAGAAGAATTGGAATATTAACAGTTTCAAACTTCCATTGACTACTGATTTTTTTCCATATGAAAATCAGGGTGAAAAGTGTTTTGTGGCATTTCCAACAAACTCCTTCCCTCCCACTCTTCCATAGGAATACCAAAGAGAGAGAGTGCTCTGTTTGCTCTCGTGGACCTTGCCTCTTATGTTTGCCTGCAATTAGTATAGTTTTACCATTTGAAGGAAAAAAAAAAACCTTCTAACTCTCCATATTACAATAGAAATACAGTCAATGACATGTCTGTGTGGACATTAGAAGCCTGACAATTTCAAATGAAGAGATGACTCTTTTCTCGGCAAACTTCTCTGATCTTGGTATATATAGTTCATTTGTGAATATAGCACTCCACCACCCCATACTTAAGCTTAACTATCCAAGAACTTATAGGGTGTCATTCTGTGATATCTGAATATTTCTTTCATAGCATAACGTTTTTTATATTCTAGGTGGGGAAAAAAACAAAAATAGGTTTTGAATTCAGAAAGATCTGTTTGAATCCTGACTCGATCATTTGCTAGTTGTGTGACTGCATAAAATTTACAACCTCGTAAACTGCAATTAGAATTGTAATGCCTGTGTTGCAGAGCTGTTGTGGGGTTAAATGCAAAAATAAAATATACTGAATGCTCGCTATCTGCTAGGCACTGGAGATCCAACCATGAATAGGAGGCTGTTCAGGCACTCAGGCAAGTCACAGATGCACGAGGAAACTGATTATTATTTTTAAGTTACCAGTTCACTTTGATTTTTTCCTTCAAAGAAAATCTTAATGAGTGAGTGGTCTATACACACTGTTTTTATCTCCTCACCTCCCAGTAGCTCCTTGCCTGACTCGGTGCTTCCTTCTCCACCACACCAGTGAAACAGCTGTTCTTAAGGTCAACAAAGACCTTAACACTGAAAATCCAATGGTCACTTTCTTGCTTCATTTTCTTGGCATCCCAGTATTTGACCAACAACTGTTTCCTTTTGCAACACTTAACTCACTGTCTTCCACAACAACACACTCTCGAGGTGTTTCTCTTCTCTTATTTGCTGCTCTTTCTCAGCCTACTCGGATGTTTCCTCAACCCCTGCACAACCACTGAATGCTGGTGTATAACAGGGCTCCTTCCTGTCCCATGACCTTAAATAACAATCTATTGGACAATGACTTTCAAGATTACATGGCCATGCCTGCTCATCTTTTCCTGCAGTCTATACTGTATTTATACACCACTGCTTAAATTACACAGCTGTGTGGGTGTCAAAAATTTATCTCAAACTGTAAATATCCAGAAAAAAACTCCAGATTCTCAACCTCTTAAACTTGTACCTTTCTTAGAGTGCCTCATCTCAGTACATTACACCATTGTTCACCCAGTTACTCAAGCTGAAAAAAAGAGGAGTCTTTTTTTTTTTTCGGTAATCCTCTTCTTTTTTTTTTTTTTTTCTGCTGGGAAGGATTTGTCCTCAGCTAGCACCTGTTGCCAATCTTCCTCTTTTTTTTTCTTTCCCCAAAGCCCCAGTGCGTGGTTATCTATCCTAGTTGTAAGTCCTTCTAGTTCTTCTGTGTGAGCCACCACCACAGCATGGCTACTGACAGATGGGTGGTGTGGTTCCATGACCAGGAAATGAACCCTGTCTGCTAAAGCAGTGAAAACGCCAAACTTTAACCACTAGGCCATCAGGGCTGACTCTAGGAGTCATTTTTTTTTTTTTTTTTCTGGTGAGGAAGATGGGCTCTGAGCTAATACCTGTTGTCAAACTTCCTCTTTTTACTTGAGGAAGATGGTCCGTTGGCTTCTGTGTGTGCCTTCCTTCCTTTTTTTTGTGTGTTGGTTGCTGCGCCTGGCTTGCTTGGTGGTTTTTGTTTGTGCCTGGGTTGGATCCCCGTGCGTGTGGGTGGGCGGCGCAGGGTGTGTGTG